GCAGGGGAGGGGGCGGGGCCCGGGGCCGCGGGGGCAGTGGGCACCCCGGGCAGGGCTGCCTCCACGGCCCCGAGTTCTGACTGGGGCTTGCACTTCTTAAAAATGGCAGAGAGCTGGTACCGGGCGATGGTGTGGAATTTGAGAACAAAGACCTGGCAGGAAGAGAAAGGGGTGAGAAAGACAATCATTCCTCTTTGACAGGCCAACCTTTTCAGAAGACAGAAAAACGAACTGTGAAACACCTGTGGAAGTCACTCTGCTTCGCATGAAGGAAGTGTGCCGTTTCCCCCAATGGTAACCAGAGTGGCATCACTACGGCCACTGTCGCCATGAAGAATCTGGCTCAGAAAAGCTGGGGGACTTGTCGGATAAGCCTGGACGCAGCCCAGACTACTCCAAAACCCACACTATCGCCCACTGGCCTTGGCAATTACGCTCTACTCTGCACCCACACACCCAACTGGGTGCCTCTCCACAGGTGTTCGCAGCAAACCCAGCCCTTGGCTACACAGTGTCCCAGAAATACCTCTTCTAAGTACTCGCCAGGAACCGTGCTAGGAGCAACCGCGTACTGTTTTCTGACCTCTCATAATCCTGGGAGGCAGACCCTGTGATTATCCCTGCTCAGGTGAGTAGGCCGGCACAGAGAAGTTAAATATCTTGCCCAAGGACGCCTGGCTAGTTAATGGGGAGTAGAGATTTGAACCCAGGTGGTCTGACACCCAGAATCCAGCTGGGAAGGCTGACGGCAGCATAAACTTGTCAGTAAAGCACAAGTTTTGCAGCGGGTGGGATGAAAGAGCAGGACACCGACGCCTCTCAGGAGAACCGGTACCTCCAGCATCCGCATTAGGACATCTCTCCCATTGCCGCTCTCCTGCTCACTCTTGGAGCGGATACAATCCACCAGGTTCAGCAGCAGCTTGCAGGACATGGTCTGGATGCTGCTGGGCAGAGACTCGTCATCGATGTTCTTGGCAAAAAGCTGGACAGCGAGGGAGAGGTCACTGAGGGGCAGGTGCTGACGGACGTGGTGCACGAGATCGGCCAATGTGCTGTAGGCGAGGGGCCTGTGGGCAGAGATCTCTGCTAGCGTGCGGATCAGTTCCCACGTTCCCCCATCTGCAGGCCACCGTTTCTCCCACCACGTGCCCCAGCAACACACAGGGCAGCACATTTGGGGCACGCTTTCTATGGTTCCAGCTTCCCCAGAATATACGACCACAAGGCTCAAGTCTGGTCTCGGTGCCTAAATCTTTACTTTCCAAGTTCTCGCATCTCATGGTCACAAGGGCACATACAGTACACGAGCAGAAATCATCACCAGCTCAATCACACACGGAACGGGTTTTGTTACTCAAAGATCAGTGTGTGTCAATTAACACCTTATACATTGTGACCATTTTACAGAGACAGAAAAAGAACATTTGGGCTAGCTACTGAGTACTCACTGACTAAAGGTCTGGACACCCACCATGTGCCAGCCATGAGCTAGACACCAGATTACCAGTGACCAGAGTGAACAGAGCCCCAGCCCTCAGGAAGCATATTTATAGAATATGAATGTGCTGTGGGAGATGTGAAAATGCACCGGGACGAAGACCGGAGGGGGAGCCACTCTCAGGGGGCAGGCAAAGCCCCTTTGAAAAGGTCACACTGATGCTGAGACCTTAAGGACAAAGGGCCACAGGGCAAAGAGCCAGGGAAATTTCCAGAAGGAGGAAACTGGAAAGACACAGGTCCCAAGTGGGGAGTGCCAGGGTGCCACAGAGGCCAGTGTGGCTGTGGCCGGTCAGGAAGAGAGAGCCAAATCCCACACAAGCGGTGAGTCTGGTGGTCTTTTCCAAGGACAACAGAGAACCACCGCAGGGTCTCAAGCAGGAGTGACATGATCTCATGTCCAACTGCAGCCAGGTTCAACTGCAAGTTATAAAAAAAAAAAGCGTCTTCATATTTGTAACTACTTTATATGGAAAACGTAGTGATAGCCTATGTCATATTCAAAGTGTTCTGTGTATTTTTCAAAAGATCTATTACACCTCCCATGTTAGAACCAAAAAAATTACTAACATTGCTTCATTTTACGTTGTAAAACATGATAAAATATTAACTTTCTCCTTTAGAAACGATAAACATGATCACAACTACATTTATTCTATAAAATCCATAAAAAATAAAGCTAGAAGGGAATACACCAAAATATTATCCATGTTACTTGAACTCCTCGTGTAGAACCGAAAGGTTTCCTTTCCTTCTTGCTTCCTGTTGGGTTATTAAATACTCTTTTATAACAGACACACACTTGTTATATAAAAAGCAAGAAAAAAAAAAAGCCAACAGAAAAACTAACACAAGTCAGATACAGTTTTACGTACAATTTAAATCAAGACAACTATTCTGGTTTTTCCCTGTAAGCTAAGGCACAAAAACCAACCTAAGGCATTTCCAAACTTCCTGCAATTCTACATCCAAAGGGACAGTAAAGCCTACATCTGTTGAAACACTCATAACACGAAGTACCACGGCTCACTGCCCCCTCTGCATTTTGTCAATAGATACCGCACATTTAATACCATACCTGAGAGTCTCTCGAGCAGTATATCCTGATCCAATGAGTATGGATTCATCGAACAGCTTGTCCATGCAAGGAATGAACTCTAGAACACAAATGTCCATTGCACATGTCACCAATTACACCAACAACACAGGAGCCAACCTACAGTCAATTAGCAATCTAGATTTGGAAACGCGTGGGGAGGAAAAAACCCCACATGCTGTATTTCAGTCCAAGACACTGGCTCTGCGGGGCCACACAAGCCGCCTGCTGTCAAAGACGCAGGTAGGATCACATTCAGTATCAGAGAATGAATAAGAAAAAGTGAGCTTCCCGTTCTTGGCAGAGAACCTGCCCCTAGTACTTGGCGGGAGGCCCATCCCACCATCCTTAAAAGCTGTCACCAGTAGGGCGCCTGGCTGGCTCAGCTGGAAGAGCGGTGACTCTTGGTCTTGGGGTTGAGAGTTCGAGCCCCATGCTGGGTGTAGAGATTACTTAAAAATTAAAAAAAAAAAAATCTTATTAAAAAACAAAACAAAACTGCCACCAACCACCCACACCTGTCTGGAGAAGAGAGGCAACTCTCCTAAATGCCCCTTTATTCACTGCCCTGAAGTCATCCTTCTTAAACGTTTTATGGCTACTCATTACGGAGAAATAAATTACAAAAGTCTAAAAATTTTACAGGGTTCTCCTAGACATGGGGCCCAGTCTCCCCACTCCTCGGGCGATGCTGACTAGAAACTCACAGGGGTTCTGTCTAATCCTGCAGATGGAATCATCAGCAAACCTCCTCCTGGTCCCCAGCAGGCCCGTAGACCTCACCAGGGTAGAAACAGCTGGTCTTCACTCAGGGACCAATCACAATTCTGAGGATGTGCAGATAGGGAGCAACCTGCATGTTTTAGGCCTCTCCTCCACACTCCCCCAGGGAACTCTGGCCACAAATATTCAAAGGATGTTTAGATTCTGGAACCAGCCTGACATTGTGGCCAGCTTCAGTAAATGAAGTACATTCTCCACCAGCTAACAACTACTACAGGTCAAAGATCGAACAGAAGTGCGTGCATTGGAGAGACACAATGCACATCTCTAGGTAACTCCCAAAGCGAGGCAGCACAGGGAGAAGTGCCAAATGGAAGCAAGCAACCAGCAATCCCTCTGAAGCCAGAGAAGGGAACGTGCCTGGGATGTCCTCAGGAGGTGGCCCAGAGGAAGGAGGCACAGAAGGAAAGATGCTAAGGGCTCAGGCACCAAGTGCTGGTGGGCTGGCTAGGGACAAGCTAAGTGTGCAAGGAGGAAGTCGTAAAAAATTAAGCTGTACAGCACTAATTCCCAGATTCCCTCCATGACCTAGCATCAGAATCTCCAGAAAAATGGGTAACACTGTTGAACAGCTAGGTTTTCTCAAACTACTGCTCTTCAGGATTAGTGCAAATGGGTTACCATCTGGTATTGTTTCAGATACCAAAAAAAAGTAGGGCTAACTGAAAAAGTTAGTGGATGTGTAAATTTTAGCTAAATGAACACATTTTTTGTATTTTATAACAATATAATACATTATACTAACATTTAAAATGATTCTTTAAGTGTTTCTTTAAATAAAAATCCTTTTGAGATGTGATGTTTTTACCCACTTAAGTCCAAGAACTACTATGGGCTTCTAAATAAACTATCCTAAAGTATCTTGTAAAAAAAACAAAACAAAACAAAAGTCAGTAGGGAGACTTAAAAGGGGGGAGGGAGGGGCTCTAAAAGCTGAATTCAACCAGCCTGATGTGATCAAACCCTGAGAGCAGCACCTTGGAAACGCACTGATCTTTGTGGAATACCGTGAAGACCGAAACAGAGCTGTGCGGCTCATGGGGCCAGGCTGCGGGTGATGGAACACGATTATCTGATAAGCATGGGAAAGGTTTTTTTAATCGGTCAGCATTTCACAAGTAGAAACCTCCTGCTACACAGCTCCCCAAAAGCACCTCTCAGAGCCTCAGGACTTGAATGGCAGGAATGCTGATAGTTAATCTGAGAACTGCAGTGAATCGACTTTAAACTGTCCCACTTAAAATTCTTCTACGTTGATACTGTTTAGAGATGAACATGTCGAAAAGCCACATACAGCCAAGGGAGCCGGGACTGGACAAACTGCCAATGGTCCTCAGCCCTGGAGGCACGTGGTGATGGGGGCGGGGGGGCTCTGCGTGCCGGTGACGCAGAATTTCTCAACCTGGGGGATGTGCACATATGTTTGTTCTGTAATTTTTGGCAAAATCGTACATTTCTTTTGGGCACTCTGCTATGTTACATTTTTTTTTTTAAAGGTTTTAAAAATGTCTATATTCTACTCAGCTGTATCCTTATGCAATATCACTACAATTTGTATTTTAACAGCATAAAAATATCTGAGCTTTATTGTATTCAGTCATGTATTAGCATTCGAACTGTACCTTTCCTTTCATATTTAAGAACTATGTAAGAAAGCGCAATCTTAGTTTTATGTACACCCCAATTTACAAGCCAGGCAAATAAAACATTGAATATTGAATCCTTACTGGGGGAAGAGGATTACCATCTCAAAACAATGAGGATGAACTTCAACATAACGATCTGGACGTAGCAAACGCAAGTATTTTTAAATTATATATCAATAATTGATAGAAAAAATATAATTATCAGATTAGCAAAAAGCAAGTAATAATCTTGTGCGTAAGAAGAGGACCCGTCCGCCATTTCACAGTATGGAGAAAGAAAACATTGTTTTCTTCTCACCTTCTAAAGATTGGTAGCTGAGAGTTAATAAGCAAACAGCTCCTTGCAATTTCAAAAGATATGCGGCCAAAAAGCAGAGAGGTACCATGAGATGTTGAGGCCATGCACTATGCTAAGGAAATGATCACATTAATGATGAGGCTGTTGGGAAGATACAGGGAGAACACTGGTGACAGGCCAAGGAGAGAGGCAGACCAAGAGTGCGGAGGCAACGAGGCCGAGAAAGAAGGGGAAGACAGCAGCAGAGAAAGGACACGTGGAGCCTGAAACACCCGAGTGAACTAAAGACTCAGCCCAACAATGGGAAGTCCGCGGTCCCACAGGCAGGGAGGTCCACACAAGCACTGCAAGGTAAGGCGGACTTACGGTTTCTTAGCTCTGTGGTGAGGATATGCTTTGCAGCGATCAGAAGCTCCTTTCTGAGGTGTGCTGTCTCCGCAGGGCAATTTGAAAGTAACTGTAACATTCCTTTTACCATCTGCTGAGAGTACTTAGTCACCAACTCCTGTAAAAATGAGGAGGAAAACAACACATTGATATAGACTTGGGGGGAGAGGGTAAGAAAAACCCCAATTTTATAAACTTCAAAAAGGTTCAGTAAGACTGTGGCTCAAAGGACGCTCATAAAGTAATCATCCTAATAAACAATTATTATCCAGAAAGTTTTAATAGTTCGTGTGATCACTACCACGGTGGGAGGATGTACAACAACGTTAAATAGCAGTTTCTTTTACACAATGGGATTATGGACGACTTCTTTAGACTTTTCTGTATTTTCCCAACTTCTAATAATGAATATGAATCACTTATTATTGGTGGGGAGGAGGGAGAACATTGAAAATTTCATAGAGGGCGCCTGGGTGGCTCAGTCATTAAGTGTCTGCCTTTGGCTCAGGTCATGATCAAGCCCCGGGTCGGGCTTCCTGCTCAGCGGGGAACCTGCTTCTCCCTCTCCCACTCCCCCTGCTTGTGTTCCCTCTCTCGCTGTGTCTCTCTCTGTCAAATAAATAAAACTAAAAAAAAAAAAAAGAAAATTTCATAGAACATAATCTACTCAGTCTTCCCATTAACATATGTTGCGAATGACAGGAGAATCCTTCCTCCACTCAGAACAAGCTCTCATCAGTTTCCTCCTGAGGAGTATGAAGATAGTATTAACATAGCTCAAGCTGACTAAAATATCCAGGGGTACCTAATTCAGATTTTTAAAACCAAAGTTCCATATTCTCAGTGCAAATTATCATTATCTAGACAAATGCCCTTTAAAAGGGACAAAAAGAAGGGCGCTTGGGTGGCTCAGTTGGTGAAGCGACTGCTTCGACTCAGGTCATGATCCCGGAGTCCTGGGATCGAGTCCCGCCATCGGGCTTCCGGCTCAGCGGGGAGCCTGCTTCTCCCTCTGATCCTCTCCCCTCTCGTGCTGTTTCTCTCTCTCTCTCTAATAAATAAATAAAATCTTTAAAAGAAAAAAAAAATAAAAATAAAAGGGACAAAAAGAGTTACAAATGCTTTCAAAGGTAGTTTTTACTCTAAACAATTTGGCAACGTGTTTTCGTTTTTACTTTCCTGAAAATTAAGTTTTTTCCTTAAAAAAATAACAAACGGTAACATAATCCCACTGCTATACATAACTACAACTACACCAGAATTTTACTCAAAAACATTGTATGACTAACGGGAAATAAGGTGTCATTTCTTTCCTCCAAGTTCTACTCAGGACTGAAATCAGGACAGACTACAACTATGAGTGAGGAAGAACAGTAACAAAATCACCCTTCAGGCTCCTCAAAAGAGCATCCCAAACTCTTCTATCACTGGCTTACGAATGATGCCATTTTTTAAAGTTCCAATCTCTCCTCAAAACTTGCTATAACACAACTTTCAACAGCAGCAGAAGTCGATGCACCAAATACATCCATACGAAAATCTGGGTGCCAGGGTTTATTTACGATGGACTTACTAACAATGTCCAGAAATGCAATCGGCGTATCTACAGACAGAAAAGACCTTGGTGGCTGTCAGGGGCTGGGGACCACAGGAAAACAAATGTCGATGGTAATCGGGATGGGGATTCTTTTTAGGGTGACACAGTTCTAAAAATCAGATGGTGGTGACAGTTGTATAAAGCCTCGAATAAACTAAAAACCACTTAACTGTACACTTTAAAAGTGTACAGTTAGTATGTGAATTATATTGTATAAAGCTGCTTAAAAAAAAAATTTAGAAACAACCCAAATGTTCAGCAACTGGTGAATGGATAAACGCAGCACAGTGCACCCACACAGGGTGGTACTGCAGCTGCAGTGCACCCCCCGCCCCCCAAATTCATGTTGACGCCCTCACCCCCACTGTGACCGTACCCAGAAACCAGAGTCTTTAGGAAGGAATTAAGGTTAAATGAGGTCTTAAGTATGGGGCCTTAATCCAATGGGACTGTGGCCTTAGAAGAGAAACAGTAATCTCTCCGTCTCATTCCCCCCCAACCACCCCATGTGAGGACACAGCAAGAAGGCGGAGCCCTTGCCAGAAACTTGCTAGAACCTCGATCTTGGCCTTCCCAACTTCCAGAACTGTGAGAAGGTAAGTTTTTGTTGTCTGAGCCATCCACTATGGTATTTTGTGAGGGAGCCTAAGCAGACTAAGACAGCTAACTACCAGTAAAAATAAAATAACAAGACTGAATCTCAGCGCTACTGCTAAGTGAAAGAAGTGACACTCAAAAGGTTACATACACTACCCAACTATGGGATTCGTTTGTTCGACATTCTGGAAAGGGTAAAACTAGGTGCCAAAAAACAAGTCAGTGTTTGCCAGGGACTGGGGAGAAAATGGACTGTAAATGTATAAAAGAAATTTTGAAATGCTCTCTATTTCATTGTGTTGGTAGTTACTAACTGTATGCATCTGTCAATTCATAGAACTGAATACCTACAAAAGGTGAATTTCATTGCACGTAAATTGTATCTCAGTAAACCTGACTTAAAAGTCAATGAACTTACCTGATAAATTCTGATGATATAAGCTAAAAATGACAATGTTTTAATCTGAGCAGCAATAAAGTCAGCGTACAACTCCTTGTTGTAAAGCTTATGTTGCCTGAATGAGAAGTGAATAGAATTCACAATATTAGCTCTTAACTCTTTAGGTGATGTTAATATTAATCAAAGCCTACAGTAATTACTAAGCCCTAAAAATGTGATTTCTACACAGACCAGAACACAGCACCAACCATAAATACTCTACATTTGTGTGCAGTTCCAAATAACACAAGGGTTTAAAGGCTTCATGAAGCAAGCAGTTCTCCAAGCCATTCCAGAGCAGCTACAACGTGCATCCCAGAGCCCAGGCCAGACTGATCCACTCAGCCAGCAGATTCTGTCAGGAGACTGTCTGCTCCGTGAAAGACCCCAGTTAGGGCCACCAAGGGCTGTTACAGCTGATTCACCCTCTGATCTTGCCCTCCAATGACTCAGAGCCAGATGGGCTGCAGTCAAGAGAGTGAGTGACAGAGGTCTTAAGAGAATGCTGCTAAGTTTGATGAAAAAGCTTCAATGGGGCTTCAAAAGATGAATATGCACGGTTCACATGTTCAGTGATGAAGGGTTACAGGTGAGGGGGAACAGGGGTATAGAACATTCTAGCACTCATGCTGAAAGACACAGCATGAACGGGGCTAGAAGGTGGAGAGGCTTGCTTATCCCACAGCTGGGAGTGAGCACAGTAACACCTAATGATTAATTCTAAACTCACAAGACACCCAAACCCAAGGTATTAGCTCATCTTTTCAAAATAAGGAAGTGATAGAACTATTCACATCATTATTGAAATACAAGCTCAAAAAGTCAAAAGTACGTATTTTACCAAAATTTTATCACTCAAAATGTTCATGTCTTACAAAAGACGACAGTAAGTATATTTTTATATGGAATTATAGCACTGTGGCAGTCAGCCATGTCGCTGTCCGAAGAAACCTCACCTGGCTTGTGCAGATACCTGAATGGCAATGGTATTCATGATCAAGGGCACAAACTCAGCAACAACATTGTGGATGTTCAGTTTGTAGAGCTAAAAGAAAACATACCAGATTTTCATGCTCTTACACTCTGCTATGGCAAAATAATGTGGCATACCAAAGACCTCTAAGATTCACTACATTAGTTAGCATGTGTGCATCCCACGCATTTTCCACTGGCCAAAGAAAACTTAGTCATACTAAAAAAACCCCAAACCCAAGACACTAGTAAGCAATATGCATACCTGATACATCAGAACAACAATAATGGGCAATTCTGCCAACACTTTCAGAGAAAGAGATCCTCTTGGAATGATGGAATGCTGTAAGAGAGAAGCAAGCAGGACCATGGTTATCACCGTGGCATGTAAGATAGCCCACTACTAAGCATCGCCCCAGCGAAATGAAGCGGAAGTATCTGTGGTGAAAGAGCAAACTATTTTTGAAGACAAAGCACAAAGAACTACCATTTAATATAAGGGTTTTTATATTTTCCAATGCCATCACCCACAGTAAAAACATCAGGAAAATTTGTCAAAACTTAGACATTCATATCACTTGAGGAAATTTTAAATTGGTACCTATTAACTAACTCAAAAGAACAGCAAAAAGTACAAATTTACCCAGTGTTACTCAAAAATATTTGTTTTTTGTTTTTTTTTTTCTTTATGAGAGTCAGAGAGAAAGAGAGAGGCAGAGGCAGAGGGAGAAGCAGGCCCCCTGCCCAGCAGAGAGCCCAATGCGGGACTCGATCCCAGGACCCCGGGATCATAACCTGAGCCGAAGGCAGACGCTCAACCATCTGAGCCACCCAGGCGCCCCGTTCTCAAAAATATTTGTAAAGAGAGAATGCTTATGATAAATATAAGAAAAAACGTAATAGTCTAAATATATAAGAACTCCTAGCGCAGGTAAGGAAAATGTCAGACTCAGATACCGAAGGACAAGAGACAGGAGCAGACAAGCAAGAGAAGAAACACAATGAATGAAACTGAAAACAAGTTTGATTCAGGAAGAGAAAAGGAATGAAAGCTTCATTCAAATGTAGATTCCTGTTTAGCCTAGCACAGACTGAAACTTTTACTGCAAAATGACTGCAGTAAAACAAACACAGATGAAATTCTTAATTCAATCCTGAAAACACAGTTGTAACTGCTCCATACAGCCTACCTACCGGTGTGCGGGGTACTTCAAATACGACACATTACCTGCAGACAACACCAGCATTCCCTTCACAAGATTACACAAGGCACGTTTTTCAGATAATGAGAGAGAAAATTAAGGCCAGAACCAAAATTATGTGCTTTGCTACAGTTAGAAAGCCCACGTGGTGGGGCTAGAACATGGTGCCCAGGGCCTACGCTCCCGGTACTGAGCTAGAAATTTCTAGGTAGCTTAAAGAGACCTCGTTCATGTCAAAGCTAAGGATGGAGCAGAGGCCCCGTAGCCTGGGCAGCTGTCTTTCCAACAGGTGATTCTGGATTTCCACTATGGTTTGATCACCTGATCTCTGCATCCGTGGTGAGCAACAGTCTCGTTCAGCACTTCAAAGCTGCCCAAAGAATCAGTGATGCGCTCTCAGGCACACACGCGTGTGCTAGCTTAACTGCGTCCAGGCCTTAGAGAAGAAACCCCACCGATACGCTAAAAGTATGCATAAAAAGTCAGTATTCTCTACCCAGTACAGAAGACAGGGATAAAAACAAAACGAAACAACTGAAAAAAACTTACTGTTCTTGTCTCACTGTCCTCACGCTCTGGATTGACTTTCACAGCAATTGTGGTGATCATACCAACCATTTCAGGGGGAGGAACTGTGTTCTCGGGGATCACCTGAGGGTTCTCAAAGTAGCGGTTCTGCATAAAAAGAGCACAAATCATTCTTCTTCAAGTCAGACACGCTATTCCTCAGCGAAACACGCCTGACCTGTGGTGGACGAAACCCAGTGTCGTACACATCTCTGTCGCGCTGATGCTATACAACTTGGGGTCCTCTTTACAGACCAAGATAACATGACAACGACAACATTCTCCACCTCCCACAACGGAAGACAAAAACTTGCCCAAAATGCTTTCTACCTTTTTTTCCTGGCTGGTAAAAGCTGAAGTGCATGGCATAATATATTACTACCTCAGCAGGCAGGGGAGAATGTGGCCCCTCCCTCTAGGGGTAGGAACCGAGGAGCTGGTCTCCACTGAATCCACTTTGCAAACAGTCTCCTCCACAGAGATCAAAGGCAGGAACCGAAGCAAAGGACAGACATTTTTAAAACGCCAGGGTGCTCGCTTCGGCAGCACATATACTAAAACGCCAGGGCCTTGTTGCCATCCTTAGACCTCAGTGCAATTTGGGCTTTCCATGAAATAAAACCACTTCTTATGAAAAGCAGCTTTTCTGACTGAAGTGACAGGTGACAGGACTTGGTAACCAGAACTCAATTAAGTTTTAAGTTTTATACATTCTTAGGTTAAAATCCTCAAAATACCATAAGGAGTCCATTTTACCTTGATAATTTTTAAAAATTGTTTTTAAAGCTTAAAAAAAAATCTTTAGAATAAAAACTCTGACACATGAACAGATTTACGCAGAATGATTTTTACCACTTCTTGTGAGTACTTGTGATAGTTAGGAAAGGAAAACTGGGAAGAGCCGCATCAAGGAGACAGTCCAGGTACACGGACAGGACAGGAAGTTATGGGGCCACTAAGAACTATGACTGGCGGCAGAAGCGTTTTAGAGACCGTTCCAAACTGGTCCCAGGGGCGCCGTCTCCGAGGCGAGCCTAAGGTGGGGAGAAGCCCACCCTCACACACAACACACACTTCCACACGCTGCTGACACCACTCAGAAAGACTTCTTTCAATACAGGAGAGAATTTTAATGATACTGAAAAGGAGGCTGAAAGTGTACACCCCTGCCCAAAAAAGGCTTCACAATAGGAGTGAAACCATCTTCAAAAAGCAGGAAAAATGTGAAGAAAAAACAAAACAAAACAAAAAAATACCCTCAACATCAGTGGTTGCTTACAAGTGAAAAAATTATGGAAGACTCACCTTGGGTTTTTGTTTTTTGTTTGTTTTTGCAAATTTCTAAAATAAAAATTTATTACTGTTTTTATGTCAAAAATAATGTATTTAAACTGTGAAAGCAAGGGAATTCTTCTTTCAAACGGCTGATTTATCAGTCTACATTCTGACCACCACTAACCACTCCTCATTCTAAAATCAGCATCCCCCCTGCCCCCCAATTATTCCTTCAACCCAACTATTCCGAATTCCCTTTAGAATGAGGAAGTAATAAATGAATTTAAATAACGGAGTCAAACAATACTAAAAACATACCACTACTTTTGGAAGCTCCTTGTAAATCTGTTTCACAAAATCCAAAAAATGATGAATCTAAAAATAAAATTAAAAAGACAATATAAGGAAGATATTTATCAACAAAAAATGCTGATAGTAAGTAACAAAAATGTTAATAGTCTTACTATATAAGAACTCATAAAACAGGCAGGAAAAATGTCAGACTCAAAATACAAACAGGCAATGGACGTGAACGGACAGACAAAAAAGGAAATACAGGGGCGCTTGGGTGGCTCAGTCGTTAAGTATCTGCCTTCGGCTCAGGTCATGGTCCCAGGGTCCTGGGATCGAGCCCCACATCGGGCTCCCTGCTCAACAGGGAGCCTGCTTCTCCCTCTGCCTGCTCCCCCTGCTTATGCTCTCTCTCTCACTGTGCCTCTGTCAAATAAATAAATAAAATCTTTAAAAAAAAAAAAAGGAAATATAAAGTAAGTTTCTAATTCAGGAAGGGCAAAGGAATGAAAATTAAAATAAATGCCATGTCTTGCCTTTCAGAAAGTATTGCTACACCACGCAAGACAGAGTCCAACGAGAGGGAGACTCTCCCATACTACCAGGGGAAGCAGCAACTGCTCAACCTTTCTGGAAATCGACCTAACATTAAAGCATTAACACTTTGGACTTGGTAATCCTACTCTTACAAACCCAGTCCATGAAATAATCTGAACTGTCAACAAGATACTCAGCAACAGTCCTAGAATAAAAATTTTGAAAATACCTTAAATATCCAAACACAAGGTCATCATAAGAAAGACTATTTATTACGCATCCATTAAAAACTACTATAAAGGACTTTTTATGATTGGAAAATACTCTTTCATGATGGGAAGGGAAACAAGATATAAAATGCCACATGCAATATTATCATATTTACACAGAAAATATACATAAGATAGTAAAAGGAAAAGAAATCAAGACATTAGTTTTCTTTAGATGATGGGAATTCTACTTCATCTTTATTCTTTTAATTTCCAAAATAACCTACAATAGGCTACTAAGGTTCACAACAGAGAAGAGTATCATAATTACAGCTAACACAACATGTTTAGTGCCTACTATGCAGGTACCAATCACCCTAAGAACTTTAACTTTTGTATTTAATTCTTCAAATATCTCAGGGTGGTAAAAGGCTTCTCATCCATTTTCAAGACTTCAACCAAAACCCACTGAGTGGTATTTCGATGGGCAAAATCAAAATGCAGTCAGAAAAGCATGGGTTTATTCTTGATATGCTAAAAATCTCCTAAAGGATCGTGACTCCAAATGGAAGTCCTCCGTTCCACTAAATCCTCATGTTTCCCTATTTACTGCATACCCACATATTTAACTCGGTATGAGTTCTCTGGTGTCACATAAAATAGGACCTAGAATCAAAAGTTTTCCCACACTCACTACATTTATATTTTACTCCTGTGTGACTTCCTTAATGAAAACCTGATTTTTATGGAGGTTCCTCAAAAAGTTGAAAATAGAGCTACCATACGACCCAGCAATTGCACTACTGGGTATTTACCCCAAAGGTACAAATGTAGGGATCCGAAGGGGTACGTGCACCCCGATGTTTATAGCAGCAATGTCCACAA